TGTTGTCGAGTGTCAAAGCAGCTTTAAAGGGATATCCATTCATGCAATGATCCATAATATTGGTTGAGCCGATGTTTGGTTGTGCGCTCAACTATTTATGGTTGGTTGATTGCTCATCTCCCATCCTTTTCCACTCTAAAGAGGGACAGTATGCCACAATATAGGAAAGCGAGTTAGATTCAAAATAATGTCATATAACTATATGTAACTGAACTGACATTCAGTTATTAGCTGGTGTTGTAGTTCATCCACACTACCTTTGGAGGTAATATGGTGTACTACAGCGAGTATACCAATGACTCGTCATTTTTGAACGAGTCAAGTTGGACGAGTTGATCAGATCTGATATCAACACACAACTATTCTGTTAATCTCGGTATTCTACTTGATACATGATGTGTAAATACGACTTGTCAACTGATATTATATCAACAAAACACATGCATGTCATGATCATCAATTTGTACAGGCATGCAATATATAACCAACTGTATTTAAAATACAAGTGTCAAAGTACAATGATATCAGCAAGCATGTTGACCAAGACTGGAATGATCAAATTCAACACATGTGTATTCAATGCACTGTAATGTAATGTAGTGTAGTGTATTTATTACAAGTTGAATCAGTAATGCGGTTGTAGAATGACAGTCGATTAGATTAGAATCAGTTTGGATTAGCACTCGAATCAATAACTCGCAATCTTCATTTTAGTGTCGACTCAAGAACGATCGACTTTCCATGCAAGACTGGATGAAACTTTTCGCACACTAGATGCAACTCTCCGTAGACTGGATGAAGCTCTCTGTAGAGTGGATGAAACTCTTCGTAGAGTGGATGAAGCTGTATGTTGACTGGATGGAACACTGGAAGATGTTTGAGTAGAATGAACTATAGATGGATTCATTGATGACGATTCGGTAATATCAGGATCTTCCAAGACCTTGGGGAACTTTTGAGGGTTGTTCATTACTTCTTGATACGATGGAAGTTGATCACCTGGGTTCTGTTGAGTCACTTTATAGAGTTTAGGTTTCCTCATTACAACTCCATATGATGGTGGTGGACCTTGAGGTTGTGGTGATGAACCTTGCGTTCCACTAGTAGAGGCACGCTCAGAGTCCATTGGTGAACTCGGTATGCCACTAATATAGGCACTCTCAAAGTCCATTGGTGAACTCGGTATCTCAGGGTAAAATTGACCAAAACAATCCAGAAAGTTGGAACTTGTTAAAAGGTCCATCACGCGCTCATTACTAACCCGTCCAAATTTGACGCGTAAGATTCCAAAAAACTCTCTTGCAAGCTTTTTTTCAGCTAAACGCACTCTCTCGCGCCGAGAAGAATATTGGTCATCGCATATTGTCTGCTGGCTTTCAAGGTTTGCAAGAGCATCATTCCCATCTTGAATGAGTGACATAG